GTTCAGATCCATGCTCATTCCACTAGAGCATTGGCAGCCTCCATGGCTTTTTTGCACAGTGTGCCTCTGGATATCTGTTGGGTGACCATATGGTCAACACCGCATACTTTTGTCTCCCATTTTAAATTGGATTTAGCTGCCAAGAAGGAGACGGCTTTTGGGAGAGCAGTACTTTTTTCTGCACCAGCATGACACCCACCATCCGTGGGACTGCTCGCTAGTTACCACAGGTGTGGATTTCACAGTACCACGCAGAAGAAAGTAAGGTTGCTTACCTGTAACCATGTTTCTTCTAGTGGTTAACTGTGAAATTCACACAACCCGCCCATCCTCCCCACATTCTGTCATGCCTTTTATCTCCGACTGTCTTTCACGGTACGGAACTAAGGCTCCAAGTCCCGCTGCCTGGCTTTATTAGGAGTAGATGAGCGGGGCTGGAGTCCCTAATTAGGAAAAGCTTTCAAGAAAGATCCGAGTCAGCTGCGTGGACGCAGGGAAATACCACAGGTGTGAATTTCACAGTTAACCACTAGAAGAAACATGGTTACAGGTAAGCAACCTTACTTTCTTGGCAGGGGGTTGGACTGGATGGCCCATGAGGTCTCTTCCAACTCTTTGATTCTATGATTCTATGATTTGACTAAAATTAGATCAGGACTAAATGAATTGATTCCTATAAAATGGTTTGAGTGAATGATGATGATGATGATGATGATGATATAAGTTTCAGTTTTCGCTGGGCTCATTACTTTGGTTAGACATAACTTTTGATGAACCTTTTTTTCTCTGAAGTGTTGATGCGTGATTGCAATGTTGTAGGGCCAGATAGTGGGTGTCCTAAGAAAATCTCAGCTGCAGGGTCATCCCAGGATAGCTATTTCATGTGACCATATTCAGCTTGCTCTAGCTTCACGTTATAAAATCAAAGTAAATTGATTCACAATGGAAGTTATATTACCCTGCTGCCACCATAACCTCTGCACTGTTTGTCCTGCCTTTGTTGACTAATGAGATTAATTAATCTAACCATTTTGAACATTTTTTAAAAAAATGTAGAAAATAAGCTGCTCACTAGCACAAGAAATACATCCAATTTCTCCCTAGAGTTTCATTTCAAGTTTTTATTAAAATTATGAGAAATATAATGAAATGGACTTTCGAAAGTATAGATAGCTTTGTATCCTCATGTTTTGAAGCTTTTCCAGTTCATTTTAATTAGACATAATGCTCAGGCAGATGTCCAGCTTTGGCTGAAATACAACAGAACGTAGTAGAATGGAATCATTAGCTTCTAACAGGAATTCATCTGTTTACAAAATTGTTCAGAGGGTTGTGTTGGGCACTGGTTTTGGACAACCAGTGTTCTCCTAACATAATACACTCTAACGTGTTCATGTATATTTTAATTATCAGGAAAGGACAGGATTATATTTGTGACCAAAGAGGACCATGAAACACCAAGCAGCGCAGAATTGGTAGCAGATGATCCCAATGATCCTTATGAAGACCATGGTGAGTGATACGGAAATAAAGATATTGTGCCTTTAAGCATGACTTTTTGTGTATGGTTTCTTTCTTTACTGAAATCAAGTTGATCTGACTGACAATCCAGTTAGTTTCTTACTTGAAATTATAAGCCCATTTGTTATCTCTTTGACTTCAACCTGTTGTTGGCCCCAATCTGAAAATAATTGGGTTGGAACCAGGTTTAATTGTACTGAATATCAGATCCACAAAAATCAGAAAGTAATTTAATTAAATCTAGAAATGTGAAGATCCAGGCCCCACAAAATACATCTTCTCACTGGTTTTTGTTATTCAAACATTAACAAATTGAGTTGTGGAATAATTTATTTTAAAATGATGACTACATTGTTCAAGTTAAGGTATTCATGTATTCCACAACAGATTTTTCTGAATACTGTGTAACAAAAACTTTCATAAGACAATTTGCAATATGAGATTTTCCAGTTTTTTTAATAGAGATCTGTTTTTATGTCTGCATGGTATTATGAAGGCCAAGAGGAGATCTTTATTTTACTGATGTTGACAATGTCTTTTGTTTTGTTGAGGTTTTTTGCATGCTCATAAATTGGCTGAAACCACAGCGGTTCCTTACAGTTCAGGAACTTTTGGTGCAATTTGTAACAAAAATAGAGAAAAAATCATTTTGTAGTCACTGTCTGAATAAACTCTGCTTTTCATGTACGACATTGGATAATTTCATGGTACAAGCTTGCAGGCTGGAAAGTTAACACCAATTGTTTGCAATTGGTCTTTTCTAACTATGACTAATTCTGGATCCAGTCCAATGAAAATAGCCATTAACCACCTAAAACAACTTTCTAAACTCAGAAATAGTCCAAGCCAGACTTTCTCTAAAATAAACCATCATAGTGGGGGAAAAAAACAATTTGAAATTGAAACAGTTTAAAAGCTTTTAAAAACAGAACAAATGAGCAAAAAATTACTGCAGCCAAATTAAAGGACCCTTCTAGCAATGAGCTAATGGCCCAAACATCTGTCTAAACAAAATGGGGACCACCTTATCTTCCCATAGAAGGACGTTCTGTAGAATAATAGACTTTAGTAATTAGTCTCATATTCTCACTAAACTTGTCTGAGGGCCCTTCCACACAGCCCTGTATCCTGGAATATCTGCTCTGAACTGGGTTATCTGAGTCCATACTGCCATATATTCCAGTTCAAAGCGGATAATGTGGGATTTTATTCAGCTCTCTGGAAGGGGCCTTAGAAAGTGGTAGGACATAGGTCTGAAATCTTGCTGGCTCACAATCTTTCAGGTAAATTTTTTTCAGATATCTGGACTCAGTCAGTATAGGACTTTATAGATCATGACAGCACTTTAAATGGTGATCAGAAACAGAATTTGGTATTTGTTTCTTAAACTCACTGAACTTGTGGTGTCTTTTGGTCAAAATTCAATGCTAGTAGTTGTTTTGACTCTCATGTTTTGGAGTAGATGAAGATGATATAGTATAAATGCAAAACTTTTAACCTAACTTAATCTGTTCTAGGCTTGTATAATCTCGCTTTTGACTTAGGTAATCTTCTGATTGACAAATCAAGAATGAAAATTCCCTTTAAATAACTTTTTGTCTTAAAGTATTTTATAGCTGTTACTGTAACCTTAAGATTTAAATGCAGCATCTCCTTCAAACATTCTTAGTTATCAGGATTCCTTTTTTAAACATATGCTGTAATCAAGTGTCCCACACACACACACACACACACACACAAGCTGTTGTAGTTCCATATAGTTTTCCATTTGTTTATGCTTTTATGATATATGTGATTTGTGTATTTTAATATGTATTTTGTGGAAATATGTTTTAATATGTGTATTTTTAAAAATGTTCTTAGGCAAATGTGTGCTTTAGCAATGTTGCAACTTGCCTCGAGTCATGAGGAGACGGGCAAGAAATAAAAATTATTATTATTATTATCATCATCTTTTTTAAAAAAAAAAATGCTTTTCTAAAGGCTGGTAGTCTGATTTGCTGCAAATAAGGGACAACAAACATCTTTGCATGTGATGCTTAACCCAGTGTAAGGATCCAGAAGCAGGGCTTGAAACATCTTTTGCCTGAGACCTAAAACCACAGCAGTTAGCCTAGAGTGTCGGCTAGAATTTTCAGATTTAAAGTAAAAAATGAAGGCAGTGTATGTTTTGGTCCAAAATAGAACTTTATTCCAGAAACACACTTTTCATAGTTGTTTTGAAAGTTTGAAAAGCTGTCTTTTTTTCTGCCACTTCTACTGTGTCAGATGTGGCAAGAAGATTGCATAAAAGGTTGGGAAAATATGTTGCCAACCTGGACTAAATGGATTTATTGTTGTTTAGATGCTAAATAAAGCAGTTTTGTGTGGTATTGTGAATAATGGCAAATTAGGTTTTGACTTCGAAACTGGGAGAGAGAAGCTGATTTCTCACTTTTTGACCTAGTTTGTATTCTGGCTGACATGAAGTAAGAGGAAAATGAAGAATCTTTATTTATGGAGGGAAGTTACTATGACAGAGTTTGGAAAACAGTCTCATGCAAATGTTATGAAACAGAGCTTCCCTCATTTTGCCATATTAACTCCCTTTATAATGTAGGTTATCTAGTGTAGATTGCTAGAAGCACTAAGCAAAAGTAATTTATTTCTAAAATGTGAAAAGTTGACAGAAAAATATTATTTCTTAAAATCCACAAAAGCTTCTGGGAGATTTTCTCATTTATAAAAGTCGTGTGTTATATATATTAAATGTGTCTGTCCATGTTTCATGGGAAAATTGTAGTGATTCCTTTTGTGCAAGCTCTAAATTTGGAGTCTGTTTTCTTTACTTCAGAAATGTGCCTGTGAATCTTCCTTTGGCTCTAGAGGGCAGCATTCCCATACTGAGAACACTATTCCCATCTATCCTTCATATATTATTTTATATCTCTCTCCCTCTTTCTATATATTTATAAATATGTATTAATGCAAGTACAGCATTTCGATAGTAATGGAAGCGAGTGATCCAACTCACTTGTTCATGCAAAAACAGCAGTCTGTTGAAATCACAAATGATGTAAATCTGAGTTTTCATACTCAAGTGATCTGGAGAGCCTAGTTTTCTAACAAGCAGATGGTCAGAGAACACAATATTTTTTTTAAAAGATCCCTCAAATATCAGTTCCGTCTGAATCCATACTAAACAATCAGTTCACCCTGCATGCTACATTTAGAGTCCAATTTTAAAAGGTATGAAATAATAGTTTGTTAATATAGTCTGATATCAGTCTCCACATTTCAGCTTATGAAATTGCACTTACACTGATTCTGAACTAAGAAATATATTTTTTGTTTGTCAGCAGTTTTTGCTACCTTGGTCTGTGTTGTTGCCCTTTAGTGCCGTACATTTCAAAATCTGGTTTACTGTGAATTATTTGAAGTGTTTCTGCAACTGCTAAAATATAGCTCATGTGCTTCAGTTATTTGAACTTCAGTGCTCTGTCTACTGAGTTAAGATGTATTGTTGGCTAAAAACTGGACAATATCCACCGGTTAGAGCTGCATCAAAAATTGGATTGTTTATGATGATGGCTTCCTTACTCATTCACTCTTTTTGTTGTGGTAAAAAGCAGTTTTATTGAAGGGAAAATCAATGTGGAGAGGTGAATAGAATTTTGTTTAAAAAGAACTTGCTTCCAACTAGTGTCAGTTTTATAGAAGCACAAAAGAAATGGCTTAAATTAGCCCTATATATGTGCTTTAGTTTTGTGTTCAGCTGTCTGTCACAAGGAGCTAATCATTGTAATTGTTCTTACTGCACAGTCCCCCAGAGAGCTAGTGTTTTCATTTCACTGAGACATGTATTGGGAAGTTTTCTGGTGGATTGCATATTTAGTTTTCCAGGTTTCTTGTATGCAGACTAGAAAAATACTTCCAGATTTATCAAAGTGATCCACAATGCCTGGTCCTGTAAAATTTATATTTTTGGTTTGACATTAGAATTCAAACTTGACAAGAAGTGGTTATGATTATTTTCCAGATGTTTTAGGAAATAGTTACCTGGACTCTTTTTATGGTTGTGGCAGTTTTCAATATTTTAACTACCCATATTTCCATTGTGAGATAGATAGATAGATAGATAGATAGATAGATAGATAGATAGATAGATAGATTGATTGATTGATAGATAGATAGATAGATAGATAGATAGATTGATAGATAGATTGATAGATAGATAGATTGATAGATAGATTGATAGATAGATTGATAGATAGATAGATAGATAGATAGATAGATAGATAGATATATATATAGAGAGAGAGAGAGAGAGAGAGGTAATTTGTTCAGTGAGTCAAAAAAATCTACTCACGTGAGGCATCAGTCATTTTAGGGTACTAGTTTTCTCCTGGAATGGAAAACAATAAGGGCCACAGTTCTTTTGAGTGTATTTCAGATGTGCCAAACTCAGTGACCTTCTGTTCACCTGCGAAATCATTCCTTTGCCCTTGAATATCTTCCCTGAACCAATAGCAGAGTTTTCTTTAATTGTGGGCTATTCAGACAGTGTTATCTGACCTGCTGTTAAGATCCCCGATGACAACTTTGCCCCATTTTTGTGTTCTCATTTAAAAGGAAGAAAGATGATATATTATGGCTCAGAAGGAGAACATTGGCAGAGCCATCTTTTAAGTGAAGTAAGCCTAGGGCACTGAGCATTTTTCCTTGGCATATGTTCAGATTTGTTTTGTGACTTTGCTTGGTGTGGTCTTGCCAGTTCCATAAACATGGAAAATGTAAAGCAGAATCTTCTTATAAGCATCATAGTAAGATGAGACTACATTTCTTGGGAGGTATGATTTGCTAAACAAATAGAAAAGCAGTGTAATATGGTAGCAATTGGCTAGTACCAGTTTTTCCCTTGAAGGCTTTAAAAACAGCAACAAGGACAGTTAACATACTTTCTAAGTCCCTTCATATCTATTTCAAGACTTTTGTAACAGGAAACATTTCTCAGAGGGAAGCTGTTACTTTGAAGTCAGAGATCCAAAGAAGACATGGGGAAGATTAAGCAGAATCACTGTAGATTAGCACACAGTGTTAGCTATACTTTAATTCATGGAATATTGATAGCGGAATTTAGTAGCACACAAGTTTCTGTTAGCCTTCCTGCCTGTATATATCTGTATTAATCTGTACTGCTTCTTTGGTTTAAAATAAAATTTTAAAAGGAGGGCCAACTTTTCCCATTGATATTAGGCAATCTGGCAAGTTTCTTTGTAGTTTACATGTAAGACATGTTGCATTTCTATGCAATGTACTTTATGTAAAGCAACCATACTGTGAACATGTTTCTTCAAAACACAGAATTGCTCAGGTTGTCTTAAGAGATTGAATCTTACTGCAAAGTACACTGTAAAATAGTTGTCCTTGTTCTGCACTTGTATTTGATCTGCAACACAGCAGTTCAGTCAAATGAGATGAATTCCATGGTCTTTTTAACATGGCTTTGCTTACCATTCGCCTACTGATTTTCCTTCTTCTTCCTAGGTTTAATACTACCTAATGGAGATATCAACTGGAATTGTCCTTGCCTCGGTGGAATGGCTAGTGGTCCTTGTGGGGAACAATTCAAGTCAGCCTTTTCCTGCTTCCATTATAGTAAGGAGGAAATAAAGGGATCTGATTGTGTGGACCAGTTTCGTGCAATGCAAGAGTGCATGCAGAAGTACCCGGAACTGTACCCTCAAGAAGATGATGACGACGACAATAAAGAAGAAAAGCAGAGCAAAGATTTAGAAAGTACTCCTCCTGTTGTAAGCAAAGAAGAGACAGGATCTAGCTAATGAAGCAGCATGGAGGCTGTGGTCTCCTTTCCATATTCAAAGACACAGACACTTATGCATAGAACCTTCTCTCCATCTCCTGCACCCCTTCCGATCCCTGAGAGTGCCCTTTGTATCTCTCCCATACACTGTATCATGTGAAATAAGTTGCTGCAAAGAAATGCACCCCAGTCCTACAACCGCAGCAGGTACTGCAGAGCACTTCCATTGCAAAACTACTTGCAGATATCAATACTGCTCCAACCATTCTTCTAGCATATTGTTTGCAGCTTGGCTAGAACATGTCAAACAAAGAGATGGAGCCAGCACACAATGACAAGAAAAAAAATCTTTATCAAAATGTTAAATTAATTAAATTAATTTTTGTTGATTGTACCAAACATCTATGCTAAAAATGACACCAAATGCTTCCTTAAAACTACCAGAATATTCAGAAACTGTTAAGAATATGTGCAAAAGTTCATTTGGACAGCCTGCATGCTTCAATAGCATATAATATTTTCCATATACTACTGATTTATGATAATGATCATATTAATGTAGGGGAGAGTGAGATTAATATTTAAGAATGATTTCTCCAAGTGTGCTGATCGGTCTCCACATAATTGAGTTGGTAGTTAAAGACACTGACCACTGTGCATCTTAATATTCCCTGTTCGGTGGGATTGCCTTTGTATAAGCCTGTCCATTTTCTAGACAGATTGTTTAAAATGATGCCCTCAACAGGGGAATCACAATGTTACCCGGAGTAACAGCTTCTGAATAGAAATTGTAACTTGAGTGTATATTAAAAGCAAAATCTTTCTACCTTGAATTGCATTTTTTAAATGTTGGTGATAAATGGATGAGAGGTTTACATCAATTTGTGTTAAGTGAAAATCCATATATAGCAAGTATTTGTATATTAGGAGAAGTAATGTTGCCTGCCTACTTCCATGTGTCTTGTGCAATGGGTCATCATTGACTCTTTAGAGGCATACAGATACACACTGCTGCTGCAGAAACTACCAGGGAGAATTGTTCCATGGTGTATTTTTCTTGCGTCTTCTTTCTTGTGTATATGTCATTTCCAGGTATGGAATTATGGAATGTATTTGATCCACTGCAGAAACAACTAGAGTGTTAAATGTATTTGGTTGTATCCAGTTGTTTTCCTCTGCTTCTGTGAATGTAAGGAGACAATATGTTTTTGCTCATTCATTCCCCCTCCCTCTGTAGCCTGTATCCCCCAAGATCACTGATCCAGACTCCGTGATATCCCATAAGTGTAGGCTTGTTCCTCTTATAAGTCAAAACTTGATCCACTGCATGATGCCATCAACAGATGGCTTTGTTCCAAGTTCTCCGAAGTGTTTTGGTGAGTGGACTGTCTAAACCTACACCAGTTGAAAATAATGTGCATCTCTATGTATTCTCATTTAAGAGTTTTGTAGAGCTTTTGTGTTCTTGGAAATAGATGACAACCAAAATTATATCCTGGAAATGAGTTGATGTATTCATGGTTTGTATACCCCTTTTTAGTAGACAAAGGTATATTCTAAGCCTTTAGCGGTTAGTTATCGGATGCCATACTCTGAAATGAAATCTAATCAACACCTAATTTTTCTAGAGAGCTGACTTAACCCCGCTACCTTGGCACTCACTCATCTAGCTTAAAATAAATACAAAGGTGTTAATGAGCTCTCACTGCTAGTAATGTTAGAGCCCTTGCCTCTTCAGCTGGTTGTTGTCTACTGCATGGACATTGGCCTGTTTAAATAAGATGTAAAGGGGCCTCATGGCTGTCTTTTCCACGCCCTTTCTTAAGTGCTCTCTGATTGCTGGCGTTCACTTTTCATTTAATGAAGTGGAGTGGAAGTACCAGCTCTCTGTCAGCAGTTCACTCCTGGGAATGGATTGCAGGCATTTTGAAAGTACATTCTCCTCTAACAGAAAAGAGTGTGAAAAGGCCTCTCAGCCTGGATAAAGAGCAGTCAACAAAACAAATGCCAAAAGTGCTGAAGTGATAAAACGTTGGCGCCTAAACAGCTGAGATCTGGTCTCAAGCAATCAGATAAAATACAGGACACTTCTTAGGAGGGGCATTTATCCGCTCCGAACTTTTCTGAAAAGGAAACCAAACATGCTGGTTATTAAGGAACCATCAATATAATGCTTGACTGGTGTGGTGCTTCAGACTGGCTCCAACTCAGTATCTATGCTCTACAGAATTTGTTTTTCAACATTTATTTCAATGTGGTGTATACTGACTATATGTCAAAAGCAATTGGTCACATGCTCAGATTTTATATAGTGCTGTGTGAACAGAAAGCATAACATCCTAACCAAAAATCCCTGAAGCCATTTGTGTATATTATTTTTTGTCCTGGAAATGAAGGAATGACACAGAAACATCAGTTGCCCGTGCCCTTCTTTGCACCCACAAAACTGCAGGTACAAAAGCAGAACTTGTAAGAAATGTATTTATATAAATGAAATACTTAGATCTAGCAATATGTAGCCAATCTAGCTCTTTACCTGACATGGGAAACCAGCATTACAATTTGACATAATATAAAAGTAGAGTTTACAATAATGTGTCCAAACAGACTTCAGCATTGGAATGAAAACAGGTTGTTCTGTTCAGAGATTATCTGGAATGCACTATCACATCCTAAACAAAAAACCAATAATATGTAAAAAGCCTTGTCCTGTTATGTTATAGGTTGTTACCTCTTTCTATTTTATATTTTACACTGTTCTCATAATCTACATCTCTTTCCATGCTTTCAGTTGAAGTTGGTGTCAGTGACTGTTTTGCATTCAAAACAAGTTTTAGAAAAAATAATGTGTAAGCAGTACACATTGTTTTTGATTGCAGATTATGAACACATGTCTCATGTATGCTTAGCATAGAATGAAAACTTCTTATATTTTAACAGTTTGGTCCATGTCTCTTACGTCTTGTTGGAAGCTAGAAAATGATAGCCTTCTTTACTTGCTGCTGCTTCCTTTCCCTCTCAGAGACTGACATTCATGTTTAGTTTTGTGTTCCTTTATGGTAGAGATGGACAAATGTGGCCAGTCAATTGTTTTTCCTACATGTATCATCTGGGTTAGTTAGCACAGCCAATGAGGAGAGATCAAGGGAGTTGCAGTTCGAAAACATCTGAAAATTGCCTACCTCGCCATAAAGATACTATTTAAATCAAAGTACTAGGCATGGTGTATGTAGATGGGTTGACTACAGCAAGAATTGGGGGGGGGGGGTGTATGTTTATAATAGAAGATATCCATAATACAAACTGGCCAGATTATATTTACACTAGATTAAAAATGATTCTGCTTTTTGTTCTTATGAGGAAAAAAGATACATTTTGATGTATTTTTTAAAAAAAGATGTGCCGAGTGTATTAGTGAGCACATTGCAAGCCAGCAAAGTTGAGATGGCGGCGATGTAGTTTGAACCATGCAGGAAAATAACAAAGGCCCAACTATTGTATGTGTCTCTCAGTTCTTGTGGGTTTTTTCGGGCTATATGGCGATGTTCTAGAGGCATTTCTCCTGACGTTTTGCCTGCATCTGTGGCAAGCATCCTCAGAGGTGAGGTATTGTATGTGTACTCTCATTGGGTCTCCTCATAAACAGTTGTGGCTGGTTCACATTGCAGGTAGTTATATCTTATGGAAAAGGTTGTGCCTTGTAAAGACCATAGTGAAAAGAACATTTCTAATCTGCTTTCCTCTGCATTATCATATAACAAAGCCTAAGTAGTTGCTAGGAAGACATGAATGGCTGCTACCTTCCCAATTTTTCAGTAGAGCAGACTTGATTGAGCAGCAAGACTTATGGCACCCAGGCAGCACAAGGGGCTGAAATACCAGCTCACCTGCACTGCCTCAGGCCCCTTCTCCACTACCATATATAATCCAGATTATTTGCTTTGAACTGGGTTATATGGCAGTGCAAATTCTGATAATCCAATTCAAAGTAAATAATATGGATTATCTGCTTAATTGGATTATATGGCAGTGTAGAAGGGGCCCCAGTGACCATTTGCTCCTTCTGAAAGTCTGCACTTCAGACTTCTTCATGGTCCTGTTCTCTCTGCATAGGCTTTTGGCTCAATTAGACCCTATGCACCCTTCGAGCAATTTGTTCTAGATGAAATGTGTATTTGCCTGGAGTAGGCAAGCAACTGCGGGCACAAGCCAAGTGGCAATGTGAATCTTTACATGAACCAACTCATAATAGGGCAGAGTTTGAGGACCAGATAGTACCTTGGAAAGACATGTCTTGGTAACCATGTGACTACCCCAGTTGTGGTCCTCCACCTGTCAGACTGTAATTCCCAGTAGGCTTAGCCAGCAGAATCATTGGTGAGGGATCATACAAGCTGAAGCCCAAAAGCATCAATTGGCTACCATTTGAGTCATCAGTCTTAATACAGTGGTTCTCAACCTGTGGCCTTCAATTCCCAGAAAACCTAACAGCTGGTAAACTGGCTGGGATTCCTGGGAGTTGTAAGCCAAAACATCTGGGCACCCACAGGTTGAGAACCACTGGTCTAATACATCCCATTTGCCACATCACTATGTCTTTTGAGTGCTTTGCTGAATGCACCAAACCCAGATCAAGCCAGGTTATAGTTGCCACTTAGGCACAGAATTGCAGGTTGATGGTACCTTTTCCCTGGCAAAGAAATGTCACTGATCCACAAAGTCCTTTGTAGCAGCAATCTCCCTGAAGGCTGGCTGGTGCAAAGCATGACAATGGAAAAGCAGTTAGGGAGCAGATCCTTGAAAAGAGCAGGTAGATTCACCTGTGTAGGCAGGATTGTTGAGCTAGTATGTACCTTGAGACAACAGCACCACAGAAGGCCAATCCATGGGCTCTAATGGAACTGGCCTTCTACTACTAACAAACCCAGCCACCTCCTTTCCCTAAAAGCTGTGTCAAAAAGCAAAGGGAAGTCCCTGGAAATTCCTGCCTGCAGGACCTGATCCCAGGCATGCCCTTCCACATCACAGAATCCCTGGAGGCCTAAGTGCTAGGAACCCTCTCGTCCTCTCCTTCACTCTCACAGGCTCTGCCTGTTCGTTTCCCTGGCAAAATACAAGCATAAACAACATAAATATATCTACAGAATCTTCCCATTCCAGTGCAAACACCAAGAGGATACATATACACTCTAGAAACAAAAAAGGTTGGATCTAGTATTTCAACTAGTTTGTCCAGTGAGCTTTGAAACCTGCAAGTATTTTTTACCCATGGAACTTCACAAAGTTGTAGTTCATTCCTCAGGGCTACTTCAAGAGAGCAGCCTCACAAAAGGGAATGCTTCAGTGCCACGTCTGCATGTTGAGTCATATCAGGTTGGTTCATGGAAGCAGCCAGGTCAGACTGCAACCTGCGCACATGGAGTGTATTTTAGGTATATGTGTAAGCTCTGGCAAACCATGGAGGGAAGCTATCAGTTCATCTGTGAGAGATGTACAGTCAGCTAAATATTGCATTGAGTTATGTAAAAATCTAATTTTAGTTTTTTTTAAAAAATATCCCCAAAACTTGGGTCTATCTATCCATGGGTCACTGCGAGTACTGTACCTGAACTCTTTATCAAAAAAGGGAACTGTCCCCTTCTGAGAGTATAGTGCTGAAAGCCAAAAGAAGCACCTTTCCCTCCACTCTTTACCAGGGACCCACTTCAGACTGTTTTACATTTAGGCTACTCTGGTGCTTTCCCTTCTCCATGGAATGAACCTTAACTTATCAGTAGGTGATGTAAAATCAGCAATTTTGGAACCCCAAACTGTCCCTTGAGGTGAACTTATACAAAAGGATATACAGTACTGAAGAGCTTTGAGTGTGTATAAGATGGAGATCGATCTCTTGGGGGGAAAAAGTAATTTCATAGATTTCCTTCTAAAGCACATAGTGGGAAGAAGTAAAGGGAGTCTTTCTTTTAAATTCCCCTTAGCCAGGAATGTTTTGATTGACAGAAAACTAACTAGGCCTTTCACTGCAATAGTACTAGCATGTAAAGTTCATGGCTTTCTCTGTGAAAGAAGATACTATTTGCATCCAGTTCGAAGCATGTCAGCTACGATTTTGCCCCAGTGAGTTTTCCAAGGTTTCACCAGGCTGTTCATGTTCACGAGGAGCTTGTTGGTCCGTATATCTTCCTGTCCTGCTATCAAGTAGTCTATACCTGGTATGAAAAAGGATATGACTGTATTAGAGCATTTTCTTAAACATTGATTTCCCAACTAAAACCCCACAGAAACAAACATTCAAATATTATTTGACCTTTATAAGGACTGCAAATAATTAGAAGTCAGGAAAGCTTAGAGAAGACAATTATGCTGGGGAAAATGGAAGGAAAAGGGAAGAGGGACCGACCAAGGGCAAGATGGATGGATGGTATCCTTGAAGTGACTGGTTTAACTCTTAAGGAGCTGGGGGTGGCCACGGCCAACAGGGAGCTCTGGCGTGGGCTGGTCCATGAGGTCACAAAGCGTCGGAAGTGACTGAACAAATGAACAACAAAAGGACTTAATACAAAATAGTCCATCCTTATAAGATACCGTATATAAGTGCACTCTGCCATATCACATAGGCATTTGATAAAGAAAAATATTTAAAGACATGAGTGCAAATGAAGTGAATGGGGGAATTCACAATAGAACAGTAAATGGAGAAACAGTCTACAGTTGTCAACTGAATACAAACAGTTGTGCTTTTAGTAGATAACAGATGACACTTTCTGCATAGTTAAAGATAAATATCACCTAATGTCTGCAGCTTTGAAGGTTACAGATGCTGGTTTAAAAATTGGCAAATGTATGAAGAACTAATAGTGCTCTTGGCAAATGCCTTTTCTTTTAAAAGGTTATCTCCAGGACCAGAATATTAATTTTACTCAGAAGCATTGCAAAGTTTATTGATTAGTCCACTGACCGTATCAACATTAAAAACAAAAACAGAAACGTACACAAATAGACAATAATCACTATCCTAAGACTCCCATAATAGTGAACTAACATACATTCAAACTTGATTAAGTTAAAAGATAATTAAAAATATCATCATTAAAATGCCAGGGTAAAATTTCAAACCACAAAAAATTAAAAACGAAGGTTAAAATAAAGGTTAAAATAGACCAACTATTACACAATCCCAAGCCACTTCAGATATCTGCGTCACCCCTACAGTTTACCCCAATCACCTCCAGATACGCAGTTCTCAGCTGCGTTGCTTTATGAAGGAAAAGCAATGGATTTTCCATGCCATAGGAATATACAAATACCTGTACACAGCTCTCTAAAGCAAGAGGCTGCAGTTCTGAGGATGCTCCTAGACCTGACACTGCTCTTGTATCAACTGTAGAGTGTCTTGCCAACTGTATCTTGCACACCTGTTGCATCCTTTCCTGGAGGAACCTGGCCTGGTCTCAGTGATTCATGCCCCAATCATGTCTAGGTTGGATTACTATAGCATACTTTATGCAGAGCAGCCTTCAAGGCAATTGGGAAGTTTTACTTGGTTCAAAAATGCAGCTGCCAAAATACTAACGTAAGTAGAGTCAGGAGATTAGGCACATGACACTGATTCTTTGCCAGGTGTACTAGTTAGTGGTTTGCTTTTTCCTCAATTCTGCTGGTTTTAATTTGATGAGCACACATAAAGCTACCTCATGAAGCAGACCACTGGTACATTCAGCCCAGTAGTGTTTATGGTGAGGACAATACTTTTCAGGGTTTCAAACAGCATCCCTTCCCTTCTAGACTTGTGGAAGAAGGTAATCTGGAATTATCTGCATGCAAGACGTGGTCTACTCACCAATGGCTTTTCTTATAAAGAAAGACCTGAAAATACTTTCAAAAATTAGAGGCCTCACTAAAGCTCTTCCTACCACTAGATGTATGATAAAATAGGTTCTAGAGATAGGGCTTTCCTGAGTTTGTTGCACACAAAATGTAAAAGAGCCTCTCAGGAGAGGAACACTGCTTCCTATATTTGTAGAGCTTGTTTCCAAAAGGTATAAAATCCATCTTGACCAAATTTTACAGGGATCAAAAAACCATGCTGGGGATTTGTATTCTTTTTCTATAAAATGTCATTTTCCAAGCCCTGTACTGAAGTGATTTGATACGTTTTGATAGTTTCAATCTGTACATAATATTCTACTCCTAGCTAAACATGTGCTGCCACCTATATCTCATTCTTTTCCTTTTCCTTTCCCTTTCCCTTTCCCTTTCTTTTTCCCTTTCCTTTCCTTTTCTTTCTTTCTTTTTATTTGGTTCTTTTGGAAACAAACTCCACATATATACTTGAGGACTTCTACTGTTTCTATTCTTTCATAGCAATACAGTAGTACTCGCTGCTTCATGTTCTTTGGTATGTTGCCAGACCATAAAAAAGACATCATGAGAGCAACTGTCCTCTCCATACTGTGCCATCAAGTAACTTCTGCTGCCAAGAAAAACCTGTCACACGCTAACAATTGATAGCATCCCTCTCTCTCTCTCTCTCTCTCTCTCTCTCTCTAACATGGATGGGAGAGTTATGGGGCTGTATCAACTCCTTGGAGGGCTACATAATGAACATCACCCTATTCCTGCAAAAAGCCCAACTATTTTGCTCCCAAATGCCACCTATGATACAAGGGGGGCATTTTCATGCTTTGGGCTTTCCTGGACCACTACAGATCCAGAAGAGCCTGAACTGAAATTGAACAGGAAGCCCTCAACTGTCCAAAGTGTAATGGAAATACTCCCTACATCATAGAGGACATTTTGAAGGAAAAAAGATGAGCTGTCTACTTTTGGGCAAATCCACTGTCTACAACTAAGTATAAATAATGCTTACAAAATAGACATTCGTGGAAAAATAATTTTTGGATGTATTCATTATTGTATTTTGAAAGGAAACAAATGAAGATTTACATCTACAGTGAAGCCATTGCAACTTTGACCTGTTTATAATCTTCAGAATGAAACATCTGCATCTAAATTAAAGGGACACGCAGATCAAATGTCTGCCCTTCTAGCAGGAACCTGCAAAGACCCAAATGTCTACATTTCTGGTAGGGATTTTCTGATGAAGCACAAAATAATATTACAAGGCTGCAGTGTTCCTCTTGGCTGATGAGCTGCCTAAAGGGGTCAGCTTAATCCATGTGTTCTATGCAGCTAAACCAAGAAGTCTGTTAGATACAACAAATGCTAACCATGTATTATTCCTGGTATAACAATATTCTCCACCACTCCATGTGCAAACACAGCCTCTTTCAGGAGGCATCTTTTACAACTGTTCAGACCTACCCAATAAGTGTAAGGGCAGAGACATATTCTTTAAAATGTGAGGGAAATTGGGCTGCTTCACAACCAGGGCCCCCTGCTTCCAGCCTCCCCTGTCAAAACATGCCAGCAAACAAACCATAATTCCTGTGCTACAAAGAGAATAAAATATCAGCACCAACCCTTATGCCTTGAGGTGGGACTAACACTTTCCTGACTATAGCAAAAGACTAGGTGGTGACCTTCATCTTACTGCAGAAGTCAACTGGACTGGAAGTTACATTTTATGTAATTATTTTCTCCATTGTTTCTAAAGATAGGTGGTCAGGGCAGGGCATACCACTCTGTCCCTCCAACAGGCATGCCTCCATTGACAAGGTTTCTGACAACGAACCTTCTTTTCTACTCCCATCTGCTCTCCATTTTTATCCCTGTCCTTTTGTCTAGCTGAAGGGTTGTGGGGTTTTTTAGCATTGGAAAGATTAAGAAAGAAGGACAGAGAAGTGTTTAGTGTCAGGTTGCAGCAGAGTGTCTGTAGTAAACAATACAGTAAAGCTTGAGCTGGAAAATAGCTGATGGCTGATGCTATTGTATTGTATGTGCCTGCCTAGAAAATACAAGGTACGCAGCAGCTTCCCCCAGAATCTCTTACTTAGCATATGTGAACATGAAACCAGAGAGAATAGATGAGCTTGTTTCACCAGCTACTTTCAGCATGTTAAAAAAAGGCATAGATCTTTATCTCTACCCAAAGATAGAAATCTTTAAAGTGGAGGTTGGTGGAAGAAGAAAAAAAGAATAATCCCTGGATGTCTTCTGGAAGAACTTCTCAAGGTGTCACTAGATGGGTCAAAATATATTTGCTTACTTATTCAAGACTTACAAGTGTAGTTTGAGGACAGAAAAATCAGGAGGTGGCAAATACTTTGTACCAGGAGGATCCGTATCTATACACAGGTATACATGATACATAGCCACTCAGCCAATGTTGAACAATGACGGGAACATCTGGAGGCTGAAACAGCCATGGTTTCATAAACAAAGAGGGGAGGGTTTATTTCTATTTTGGCTTTCTGATTGTTATGTTTCAGAAATGTTACAGAAAAACAAATTGGCTTTTTATTAGAAACATGATTTAAAGAAATCATACCGTATCTTCCATTGCACTACACCATAAATTATGGTTTGTAATTAAACTCTAAGGCCAAGAGATTAGATGTAAGGACTTCCTGTCACCAGTCAGGGAAGAACATTAGCTGCATAATGCCACAGAGACTGTTGGGAAAGGAGCCAGACTGCTGTGCACAGCAGAAAACACTGGAGGATTGTGGTCGTGCCAAACTGGATTAGTGGGTGTAAATATGGACAATTTCCTAAATTCTTTTACCCCCTCAGAGATGCTTTCTCTCCACCTCTTTCCAATAAAAGGGGTTGGTAAGCAATACTTCATTTATATCCAAAGAAGAGAGAAGATGTATATTTGTGTGTGTAACTAAAACATATTATGGATGAAAGTATGACAAGTCTATATGTGTATAGCTATGAACTACATCACAATGGAACTAAATGTACTATAATCACTATGATATAAATTGTCCCATTGCACAGTGCAATATTGACATTTCTGTTAGTGTCAATTTTACAACTGCGTATGCCTCTTTTTATTTTATGCAGATGGTGGTATTCCCTCTCTACACACTAAAATCTTGGCTCTGGAACTTAGCATTCTCAGATTGATGATCAAATCAATAACTGTTGACCACAAGGCGGATGGTGGTGAATTTGTAATTTACCTTGACGAATTCGCTTTATGTAATTTTTGATCTGTATTTTAATGTGTTTTAATGTATTAATGTACTATGATGTTATTATGATTTAGTTTATTTGTATATTGATTCTCTGTTGTTAGCCGGCCTGAGTCCCTCCTCGGAGGTCGAGAAGACCAGGTTATAAAAGCTCTAAATAAATAATAAATAATAATAAATACACACTGACCAAAGCCTCCTAGACTTTCTGAGGAGTTGATCCTGGCCTCCTCACAGCCATTCCATGACTCTCTTTTTTAATGTCAGGAGTGACTTGAGAAACTGCAGGTTGCTTCTGGTGTGAGAGAATTGGCCGTCTGCAAGGACGTTGCCCACGGGACGCTCGGATGTCTGATGTTTTACCATCCTTGTGGGAGGCTTCTCTCATGTCCACACATGGAGAGCTGGAGCTGACAGAGGGAGCTCAACCCGCTCTCCCTGGATTTGATCAGAGAGCATCTGGCTATGTTTTTGTAGTCAGACATGAAATCTATCATCATCTGCTGACACCTCCAGAGATCCTTGGCAGATCTTAACAGAGATTATAATTATTTTGCATTTGGCAGTGGGGGCAGCACCAGATGTCCCTTCAATTCCCTACCATTCTTGCCAGGTTCTAGAGTGAAGCGTTGTGTCTATGGTACAGCCATAGAAAAAGCAGCCTTACCCATGTGGTTGGTGAATGGTCAGCTGTAGTTCTGCAGGTGGAAGTATTACAGTACATTGAACCATACAGGATACCACCCAACATTTCCCTCTAAAGCTTTCTACTCCTCAAATATGACACATCCATTTGTAGTGGAGGAAAGAAGAAAATGCTTGGCAAGTTGGCATTTCGAGGTAATAAATATCCACCTCCAAAAATGTGAAAATTCTTAAATCTTACCGATCAAGTTTAACACATCTTTCTGCACATAATTCATGGGCAAAAGAGCTTTGGAGCACTGCTTTTCATAGCACGGACATGATTGGTGGCTAATTGCTGTTAAACAGGCTGTTTAAAGGAGGGGGTCAAAAGTTGGCAACTCTACCATTAGGTTGTTAATGAACAATTTAAAAGAGATGTGGGACTGGGTTAAGAGAGGCTTGACTTCGTTTCTTCTGTCCCACTGTCTCCACAGATCTAATTGCTTTGCAGTTTTCAAGAGAAATCAATGATCTGCCAACATACTTACTATAGGTGAACTGAGGGATAAGTAACATACATACACACACACCCCACTGAGCTATTTCTCCTTCAGTTTGACTTCAATTCTCTTTAAAAGACTATTGTCTTCCTCTGCCTTGGTTTATAGGACTTGGCAAATAAAAACTCTAAACAGGGCTCTCGAAGAACACACTGAAGTCGAACTAAAGCCATTCACAGGGAGCAGCTTCTCATGTTAATCATTGTGACTGATTGGGTTATAAACATATTTTAGACAAAACACTTCCTTTCAGTGAATGTGTGTTTAATCTCAAGATTAAAAAAAAACACAATATAATTTATTTGTTGGTAAATGATTGAAGGATTTGGGGTCAAGGCAGCAGTGATCTTTGCTGCTTGCTCATCCTAAACTTAATGGAATCCTAAAGCTGTAAACTTCTTTTCTGGGTACTTTGACTTCAAATGAAAGACTTATTCCAACGCATGTTCCCAGGCTTCAGCTTAAAAACTGCTTGTCCTAAGAAGCATTGTGTATATAATTTTAGAATCTATTGGAAGGAAGTGAGCTGGAAGGAAGCAAGTAACAGGCTCTGCCACTAAGTTTCAGTCCCAAGGTTGGAAATTATTTTTTGAATGGAAAAAAATTGAGAATTTCTTACCACAAAAGTTATTTTCTCAACATAACAAAGTCCCAGATCATCCAAGTGAATATTACAACATCTTAATAATAATGTTTTCAGACTGATATAACATGGAAAAGTTCCAACTTGGTGATGACAATAAAATGTAGTTGAAACTAGTAAATTGCTTGTTTGTTCATGAGCTGCCCTAACCTACCCTCTACTAAATCCAATGTGGAGAAACTGAAACCTGTAAACAAAGATTACTAAATTATTGTGAATTGGCAATACTGCTGATCCAGATAAGAACACATTGAAGGTGTCTTACACTGAATAAAGACTATAATCTATCTAGTTCAATACTGACCAGTCTGACTGGCAGTCACCTTCTAGTCAAGGTCTTTCTCACAACATGTTCTTATGCTCTTTAAAGTCAATTCCAACTTACCGTGATCCTAATCTAGAGTTTTCTTAGCATGATATATTCAGAGGAGGTTTGCTATTGCTTCCTTCAAAACTGAAAAAGTCTGACTTGCCCAAAGTCCCCCAATGAGCTTCATGGTTTAGTGAGGTGGTTCCCAACCTGTGATCCGTGGACCACCAGTTGTCCACAAGAACTAAAATATGATCCACAGCCTCACTGTTACTATACCATTGAACAAATGCAACTGGTCTCACAAAACCCTCTTATAGTACCAAGGCTTATTAAATAGGCTTTTCTGTGGGTGAGCAGATAGCAGCTACTGAATGGCATATGTTCTGTATCAGAAACTAGAGTTGACCTGGTCTAGCCAATGCAATTTTCTAAATCAGCACCCCAAATAACCAAACCAGATCTAAAGTTGACCAAAAACTGATTCGTAACCCTTTTAGTACTAACACTGGACAGTGGTCCCTGGTCAAAAAAAGGTTGGGAACCACTGGTTTAGTCAAAAGTCAAACCCTTGTCTCCTAGACTCTTGCCCTAACACTCAAATCACAACAACATACTGGTTCTCAAATGTTACATGATGCCTTTAACCATATCTGTTTGCTTAGTTTTATTATATTCATTTTATATTTAATATTAAGTATTTGACACCTTGAGTTCCATTTTAAGGGGAAAGGTGGGGTCCAAAGACAATAGACGGAAGGTGCCAGGAATTGAACCTGGCATCTGCTAAACACAAAACGTGTGCTCTACCAAGATGCCGTGGGAACTCCCCTGCCTACATCAATTTTTTTTAAAAAAAAACACAATGTTCATGAGTGTTAAAGAACTGACTAAAATTTAAGATCCACAGCTTGCAAGGAATGACTATCCACATTATTAATCATGTTCCATTCAGATGCAGTACTTGGCACTGGTGGGGGAGAAAGTGGATATACTGTATATTTTATATGGAATCTTTATGCAGACTGACTCCTTGACATGCCCAAATAAGGCTGCTTTATACCTATAGATATGTTGGTTTGGTGAAATGATAAGGTCTATCAAATTCTTAATTTAAAAATCTTAACATAAATAAGTGCCGTAATAGGGATGACTTACCAGGGTTTAAAATAGGGCACGTGCACCCTCTGTTGGTCCATGACTCTGGATAGATGCTCCGGTTACTTCTTGTGATTTTCACTTTGCCAGATTTCAGAACCTTCTTGACCTTCACAATGACTTCAGCATGAGTTCCTTTGTCATGAGCTGAAAGGATCTTTGCTTTTATCACTGGCAAAATTTATGGAGACAAATGTGAGGATGTCACCCTTTGTGCAATGTGTTATTTTCATGTACTAAGTGGTCAAAACTAAAGGACTTGATATGAAAGATATAATTCATCTGTTTTTGCAAATCTGCATGGAAATTGTATTTCTGAGCATCTCAATGCCCAAGTAAATGATACTGCATTTTTGGAATGAACAACTGAAGAAAGGGAGCAGAATGAGCCAAGACTGCAACATACAGGAAGAAGACTGTTTACGTGGCAATCTTGATGCAAATCCACCCTCCACTTGTTGTTAATGCCAAGAAGAAAGCACTCCTTGATGCTAATGGGTTGATTGTATGGTCTAGAAAGGTAAGGTCTGGAAAGGTAAGGTCTGTGGGTATTCTTACTCTCTGTCTCTTTCCTACTAAGGCATAACCAATAAAATAACAGTGCTCTGAAACCACCGACTGCAAATTATTCCTGGAATGAAGCAGGACTGATCCTGGAAAGTGTCTGGATAGGACAGTGGTTCTCGACCTGTGGGTCCCCAGGTGTTTTGGCCTACAACTCCCAGAAATCTCAGCCAGTTTAGGATTTCTGGGAGTTGAAGGCCAAAACATCTGGGGTTGAGAACCACTGGGAAAGGAGATACTCCATTCAGACTATTTGAACCAGCTCTACACAACAAAACAAAGTTTGCAGCCAATGCAATATCCAGCAGCTGTATTGCTGAGAAGAGCACTTCATTAGAAACAGAAAAGCAGCTGTAATGGAACTGTACTAGCTGCCAATACACTTTTGATATTCATGAGTATGTTTAAGACCATAAATTGCCTGGGACCATGAAACATAAAGGGGACTTATAACTGTATGCATCCACTTGAGTGTTGAGAGCTACTACAGTTGAGCCATTTTGTGTATCACTAGTAAAAGCTGTACGTTATACAGAGAAGCAAGAGTATTGTCTGTTGTGGTATCTTGGTTGTGGGATACCTTTCACTTGTAGGCCTGTTTGGCATGGACATTAGCCCAATTTCAATGCCAACTTGGCTTTTCTCCGGGACTAGACTGTAGAGCTCTGAGGCAGTGTGCCCCCTTTAAACTTTTTTCAATGGGTTTCAGACTATCTGAAATAGTTTTACATTATTTTTAAACAGTTGTTTTGCAATCCTGAGTTCTTTTGAGACATATATTTTAATTAGGTAAATTAATTCATTAAAAAATGATGAAAAAAGACTTTCATTCACTTACCATAAGCATATTTCATTTGGCAGAAATTGCTGGCACTTCCTAGTATCCTCTCTTTGCACACACACTTTTCTAGGCAGAGAACCACAGACCAAAATGTTGAAGGATGTGAGTCACATTCAAAAGAGGGAGGGGAAGGCAGAAAAAGACGTTGTTATTTACATGAACATTTATCATATCTTATTTCAAATACCTGGATAATAAACTGAAAATAAATTCAGAAAAGGTGGAAATTGTATAGGTGGGCAATTCTGAGATCTGGGTGTCTGGGTAGGGTTAGGGTTAACAGAGGCACAGACTGTAATACAAACCCCGGACAAGGTGTTAACCCTTCCCTATGCTATCCAAAGCATGCATGCATATATATATGGAGTTACACTTAAAAATGTATCTGTTTCAATTTACATACAAATTCAACTTAAGAACAAACCTACAGAACCTATCCTGTTTGTAACCTGGAGACTGCCTGTATCACTCAAAAACTTGCATTAATGTTAATGTTACTGAATAAAGACAACATGTCAACTATTACAGTACCTAAGCCCTTATTTAATGGTAAAAAGTATAGTTAGTGCTTAAAACCTTCTATCTTGAAAATTCTAAGTATTTTTTTCTTTTGCTAGTAAAGCTGTGGTTATTTTGGTGTATCCTTTGCAAATCTATACTGCGAAAGTTATTTCTTGATTTCTTGAGAAAAAGTACATAAAGTCATACCTGGATGTCTTAATGCAGAAAAGCCCTGTTCATTGTCATTCCACTGCCACTCATCGTCACTTTCATTAGCTGGAGATTGAATGAGGTCAGGGATTCTCCCACCGATTGGAATATTGAAAAAAGCCTGATTGTCATAACTGGAAGGAGGAGAACGAAAAGAGCTGAAACAGAGATCTTCTTGCAGGACATGATGTTGTCCAGCCATGAGGTAACTGAAGAATCAAACTAGATGACATATTTTGAATGTCAGTACAAGAGGTGCTTCTTCAAATTTAGAGAGTTGGATTGGTTATGCCACATATTTTTCTTTACCTCCGCACCTTGCATTTAGTGGGCGTTTTTTAATGATTGGTTATTAGGAAGTAAACATGGGCTTAATTTGAAAGTGAAGGTGAGGTACATATCCTCCATTGTGGTAGAAAAATAAGATGAATTTTACAGAATTTTAATAAGTTCACTGGTTTGAGAACTAGTCTGAACTTTGTTTCATTCCCCTACCAATCCATGATTTTTAAAAACCAAGGCCAGCACCACCGTTTTGATGAATTGCATTGAGCTCATGTAAGAATCAACTAATAGTGGTGACTGAATGAAAAAAGATGCAATGATAAAGTTTGTAAAAGCGCTGAGTAACCCAACCAGCTCATCCTGTAGTGAAGCAGTCATACTGAGAACTAAACAGCGGCTGCTGTACTTTCGGCATATCATGGGAAAGACTAAAATGCTAATAAGATAGAAGGCAGTAGGAAAAGAGGAAGACCACATTGCCAATGAATAAACTCAATCAAGAAAGCTGTGGCTGTTTTGAGCTTGTAAGAGTTGAGTAGAGGATAACTTGGAGGTCTCTCATTCATAGGATCACAGTCTCCCTACCTGAGCTAGCGGGGGTGGTCTCGAGCCTGGCGTTGAAGTCTCAACGGCTTCTTGTGCTGGGAGACTTCAACGTCCATGCCGAGACGACCCTCACAGGCGCGGCTCAGGACTTCATGTCTGCCATGGCAACCATGGGGCTGTCCCAACAAATATCTGGCCCCACCCACTGTGCTGGACACACATTGGATTTGGTTTTCTGCCAGGGATGGGAACAGGGTGGCGGTGTGGAGGAGTTGTCCATCTCTCCGTTGCCATGGACTGACCACTTCCTGATCAGATTTAGGCTCACTGCACCCCCTAACCTCTGCAAAGGTGGAGGACCCATTAAGATGGTCCGCCCCAGGAGACTGATGGATCCGAATGGTTTCCTGACGGCTCTTGGGGATTTTCCCGCCACCTCGGTAGGTGACCATGTCGAAGCCTTGGTGGCTCTCTGGAATGGGGAGATGACCAGGGCTATTGACATGATTGCTCCGGAACGTCCCCTCTCAAGTAGCCGAGCTAAACCAGCCCCTTGGTTTACTGAGGAGCTGGCAGCTATGAAGCGAAGGAAGAGGGAACTAGAGAGCGTGTGGCGTTCGGAACCGAGCGAGTCAAACCGAGCACGGTTTGTGTCCTTTCTTAGGGCATATGCCGCGGCAATAAAGGCCGCAAAGAAAACTTTCTTTGCGGCCACTATTGCGTCTGCAAAGAACCGTCCGGCGGAGTTGTTTCGGATTGTCAGAGGTCTTTTAACTCCCGCCACCTCAGGCGGGAGCCCTGACAATTCGGTCACGCGCTGTGAAGCAGTTGCTCGGTTCTTCGCAGACAAAGTCGCTTTGATCCGTTCTGAGCTGGACACCATGTTAAATGCAGTCTCCGAGGATGTAACAAGAGCACCTGCTTGTCCTATTTTGTTGGATTCTTTTCAGTTTGTGAAACCCGAGGATGTGGACAAGATACTTGGAGGAATGAGGCCCACCACGTCCATCCTAGACCCCTGCCCATCCTGGCTTCTGAGAGAGGCCAGAGGGGGATTGGCCGAGTGGGTAACAGTGGTGGTGAATGCCTCCCTTCGGGAAGGCAAGATTCCAGCGAGCCTAAAACAGGCTATTATAAAGCCGCTGTTGAAGAAGCCATCACTGGACCCCACTAAATTGGACAACTTTCGGCCTGTTTCCAATCTCCCCTTTTTGGGCAAAGTCATGGAAAGCGTGGTGGCCTCACAACTCCAGGTATTCTTGAGAGACACGGATATTCTGGATCCGGCACAGTCTGGTTTCAGACCGGGACATGGTACCGAGACGGTCTTGGTCGCCTTAGTGGATGATCTGCGCAGGGAGCTAGACAGGGGGAGTGTGTCCCTGTTGGTGCTCCTGGACCTCTCAGCGGCCTTCGATACCGTCGACCACGGTATCCTTCTGGGGCGCCTTGCGGAAATGGGTCTTGGGGGCATTGCTTTGCAGTGGCTCCGGTCATTTCTGGAGGGTCGCACCCAGAAGGTGTCATTGGGGGGCTCCTGTTCCGCACCACAACCTTTGACTTGTGGGGTGCCACAGGGTTCCATACTGTCCCCCATGCTGTTTAACATCTACATGAAGCCGCTGGGTGAGATCATCCGGAGTTTCGGGGTGCGGTGTCATCTGTACGCAGATGATGTCCAACTCTGTCACTCCTTTCCACCTGCTACTAAGGAGGCTGTCAGGTCCTGAACCGGTGCTTGGCCGCTGTGACGGTCTGGATGAGGGCGAACAAATTGAAATTGAATCCAGACAAGACAGAGGTACTCTTGGTCAGTCGCAAGGCCGAACAGGGTATAGGGTTACAGCCTGTGCTGGATGGGGTCGCACTCCCCTTGAAGGCGCAGGTTCGCAGCTTGGGTGTGACCCTGGATTCATCGTTGAGCCTGGATCCCCAGGTTTCAGCGGTGACCAGGGGAGCATTTGCACAGCTCAGGCTCGTGCGCCAGCTGCGCCCGTACTCGGGAAGTCTGACTTGGCCACGGTGCTACACGCTCTGGTCACATCCCGCCTTGACTACTGCAACGCTCTCTACGTGGGGCTGCCCTTGAAGACGGCCCGGAAGCTTCAGCTGGTTCAGCGTGCGGCAGCCATGTTACTAACTGGAGCGGGTGGCAGGGAGCACACAACGCCCTTGTTGTCCCAGCTCCACTGGCTGCCGATTTGCTACCGGACCCAATTCAAGGTGCTGGTTTTGGCCTTCAAAGCCCTAAACGGTTCCGGCCCAAAATACCTTGCTGACCGCATCTCGGCCTACGAGCCCACGAGGACCTTGAGATCGTCAGGGGAGGCCCTTCTCTCGATCCCGCCTGCCTCACAGGCACGGCTGGCGGGGACGAGGGAGAGGGCCTTCTCGGTGGTGGCCCCCCGGCTATGGAACACTCTCCCGGCACACATCAGACAGGCGCCCTCCCTCATGTCCTTTCGAAAAAGCCTTAAGACCTGGCTGTTCGAGAGGGCATTTAATTAAGTGCAGCAACAACATTACGGTAATGAGAACTGGAATGGTATAAGGATGATGAGACTGGCCTATGATTCTACTAAGAGACGAAGCGGATTTTTATGTAGTTTTGTATTTGGTGTATAGTTATGTGTTGTGGATTCTGGCTTTTGTAACTGTCTTTTTATGTGTACTGTACACCGCCATGAGTCGCCCGTAAGGGCTGAGAATGGCGGTTAATAAGTGCATCAAATAAATAAATCACCATAAATCAAAATCAACTTGATGGAATCATCAACAACAAGATCTAAGATTCTCAATTCAAAACCCACAGATTGCTCACCTACTGAGACACTCTCCAGTGTGCTTGTCACAGTCTCTGGCACAATCGCAAGGTCGACAGCCATGTTCTCCAAAGCCCCAGTATCCCAAGAGGCACCTGTCACACTTTGGGCCTGCAACACCAGCCTTGCAGTAACAGAATCCTGTCTTGGGGTGGCATTTCCAGCTCTGATTGAAGGTGTCACTCACTGTACCCATGGGATGACAAGAGCAGGCTAGGGAAATGAAGAAAAGTTTCAAACACAATTGACATAAGAAAATCATAGTCAGAGGGGATGGGTGGGATCTCTGTAAGGTTTTTAAATAAGATGTATTTATTTATTTACAGTATTTATATTCCACCCTTCTCACCCCACAGGGGACTCAGAGCGGATCACAATGCACATATACGTGGCAAACATTCAATGCCATAGAGACACAACATATATAGACAGACACACAGAGGCTATTTAACTTTCCAGCTTTATGAGGGTATGCTTTGAATTCTGGCCACCGGGGGAGCTGTTGCTTCACCGTCCACTTGTGACAGTACTTCCCCATTCTTTTGCATGCTGCTGGAGAGTTTTATGGTGTGGTAAATTAGTTAAATTAGCCTCCCTGCATAAGTTTTACCTAAATTTCCTACTTGACAGATGCAACTGTCTTTCTGGCTACAAAGGTCAACAGCAGACTAAACAAATGGTTGGGAGCTTACTCTGACCCAGGCTGGCTTCGAACTCATCACCTTTTGGTCAGTAGTGGTTTTAATACAGCTAACTCCCAACCAGCTGTGCCATAACCCGGTTCTGTATGTCTGTATGTCAGAATGATAAACACTATATTTCCAATGAGAGTTAAAACAATTATGTGATATAGGCACAAGTCTTCAGTTTCAATAGGATTGCACTGTAATTAGGATGAAATATTACTAAAACATCAGAATCCTTGGTTATGCACCCCAACAACAACAATTCATGGATGTTTTGGTTTTTAGGCCTGTTCTTGGGGTTATTTAGGATACTGATTCAGATAATTGCATTGGATAGACTGCATCAGCTCTGGGTTTTTAAAAGATGTTTGTCATGATTTTCTACAGGTCAGCAGATGATGATGCGTATTTGATGTATGTTTTGTATTTTTGTCATTTTTGGAATCTGCAGGTCAAAAATACCCAGAAGTGAGTCTAACATTTGAGGCACCAAAATGTTGTATTGATCAGTGTTATTGATGATTTTTTCTGTACACTTCCTGTTTGTGAATTGGGTGGGGGGGGGGATGTCAATTGCTCTGGAATACTTAAATTCTACTGATGCAGCTCTTCTCTTTCTAGAATTTAAGTTACTCTTCCTTCCATATCTGGTGCACAACTGCCAAATAATTCAAAATGTACACAAACACAACACACCTTTCAGGGTACCAATTCTACTCTATTCCTGTAGTTGAGAAAGAAAAAGGGTCATAATTTTGATTAGACTCTCGGAGTGAGGGATACTACCTAAACAACCCTCCCCATCTTCAAAATACCTAAAAATGTCAAAAATTAGAAACCAAAAAGTCATTTTGTTTTTGGTGGACCACTGGTTAATTTTCAGGAGCCACTGGGTGGGCGGGCTGGCAAAAGTTACTTTCCACAGTTGCCCACACTTGTCCTTATTTCAAAAGACATCTGAAAGCAATCTGTTCTTTTCAAGGCATTATGTTGGGTGGGGAGGAAAAAAAGAGGAAGGGGGTGTTACAGAAAAGAGAGATAAAAGAGTGTTTCAGGATAAATGGGTCTGAGAGAGGGAAAAGAGATGGGAGAAAGATAAAAAGAAAGGGATTGGCTACAGTGACAAAAAAAATCATTTTGGCATTGCATTTCCCAATTTGGCATTGACCCTGCAGCAATCCTTTTGACACTACATTGTGGTGGGACTGCCATAACAGGCCACACATTTCTTCCTGTCAAACTATCCTCACTACAAGGGGATACTCCATAATTTCCAATTCCTTGCATTACTTTTGGCCACATGTTTGTGGACACTCCACTTTCCTCCCATCTTGCATGGAAATATACATATCTTCCATTAAGCAGGGGTGCACTAACACTAACATATCACTATACAATTATTTGCACCTAAGCACATTCTTAAAAATAGTTTAAAATTCAGTCCAGGAAAGAACCATTTCCTGATGGAAATTCTCATATACATCTAATCAATTCTGCCCACCAATTATGTCTCCTTCCAATTCTACCGTGAAGTAATCCTGATTGAAGGGCCAGTTACATACCAAAAATCCAGATTTTCCATAAAACTATGGGTCCTTCCACACAGCCCTATATTCCAGAATATCAAGGAAAAAAATCCCACAATATCTGCTTTAACCTGGGTTATCTGAGTCCACGTTCAGATAATGTGGGATCTTGTGCCTTGATATTCTGGGATATAGGGCTATGTGGATGGGCCCTAAGAGGTAAAAGGCAATCTTTTGGGCTTTAATCTGTTTTTTTAAAAACTGGATTAAGGCCCAATAAAACAGAGTTATGCCCAAAGGAATGCCCTTTACTCCACAGTTTCAAGCAATCATTGCAAGCAAATAGTCAATAATGTCTTGTTTGAGGAATGCAATGCTTAAATAGTGAATCCATTTTTCTTAGTTTATATAGATAACCCCAACGAGAAGGGGGTGATGGAAAGAATGATGGAAAGTGATGTACCCCACAAAAAGTATCACATTTTGATGTATAGGGTTGCACTGTAAGCAAATTATCACATGTTAAAAGTCAATGTAATCACAATGTAAAACACAGTTATGTGAATTGTTTCTCATGCTCTTGAATCCCTCTTGCTGGCATTACTGGATGCTCTAGCATTCCTTTTTTTAGTTCTGATGAAAGGAACATAAAGGTCTGATGATTCATTATTTCTATTGGTTAGTTTTAAAGTCAGGCGATCCAGTCATGGATCTCCAGGGTCAACTCAGTTCCAGGCAAATGCTAAAACAAAGCTGTGCGCATGGGCTGCCAGTCTTTCAGCTGCAGTTTAATACCAGAAGAGTACAGGGAAGGTCAGAGATGAGCAATCTGACAAGATGATTCGAAGTGACAGTCAGGCTCATATTTATGATTCTGACTGGGATTTTTTTGCTCTTCTTCGTTTTAAAAGGAATGTCTGAGCGTCCCTACCAATAGGAAGTCAGCAAAGGAGGATTTGGCTAGCATCGGAGCATTCAAACGGTTATACAACACATTTTTTCCTTCTTGCTGGTGATTAAGAGAGAATGTGCTCTGTAGTTATGACTAATGCTGAGAGAGATTCCTTCAGAGCAGAATCCTGTTCATTTTTCTTCTCAGGAGCCTCAGGGCCTTTTTCAGTTTAGCCTAGCCTCTTTGCTCTGGTTGGAAGAACATGCTTAAAGCAGGGATTAATAGAGTATTTCATTCAGATTTTTCATATGTTTTCATTCCTTAACCTGGTATCCACTGGGGAAATAGGAAAGGTTTGAATGTCCTCCCCCTTTCTGAAGTAGGTTTCCTCTTCTGTCCTTCTTTTCTTTCTCATAAGAGAGATGAGAACTGTATTGCCAGGCCCGTAGCCAGGATTTCGTTTCGGGGGGGGGGGGGGGCTGAATTTTTTCAGGGGGGTTTCGGGGGGCTGAGTTTTTTGGGGGGGCTGAGTCTGAGTGAAAGAGGGTCTACCCTAGCAAACCTTTTGTATCATTACCCCAATACCCCCATGCATATGGGATATATTGAGTATGGTGATCAGATCATGATATGAATAAACATAACAGTTTAAATAATGCACCAGTAAGGCCTTCTCGCAAACCACCATGAAAATTTCGGGGGGGGGGGGGCTGAAGCCCCTCAAGCCCTCCCTCCCTGGCCACATGCCTGTGTATTGCTCATCCTACAAAAATCTGTGCAATCTGCTGTGACAAATTTGTTATTTTCCTCTTTGCTATTTTACAGCATCAAAAGAACACCAACATCACATATTTAGCATACTGTTTTTCAGTAAAAAAAAAATCACTGAAGATAGATAGACATGGCCTCGTCACATGGGGCACTGGAATCGCTATACACCATGGCAAATCCAGGAACTGCTGTTGGGGGTGAGTGACGAATTTGTTATTCCATATCCCGCATCACATGGCTTGACAGGAAGCTGGTCCCAGGGGGGGAAGCGCTTACTGCGCAGCTTCCTCCCATTGCTTCCTGTGCAACACGATGACCCACACAGTCCCACCAGAAGTACACATGCATTGTGAGATGGGAGTCGGTGGGCTCCGTGAGTCAAGTAGGGCTGAACTAACGAATGCTGTTAAAAATAGCCCCGTCTGATGAGGTAGATAGATAGATGGGTACATTACAAACACTTTGGACCTTTGCTTAAATAAGATCAACCCTCCTATCTATCTATCTATCTATCTATCTATCTATCTATCTATCTATCGACCTCATCATCCATTGATGAAGTACTAGAGAAATGTCTTCAAAAGTCTTGGGAGTGGTCCATCATTTGTGTGGAGTGGAACAGCACTGTTATCTGGGTGGACTGAAGCCAGTCTGGACTGAAGTCGGAACAATTTTGTGAATTGAAGACTTAATTCCACAGCCTGGACCACTATGGATTAGAATCAACTATTGGTTTCTATAAACGACTGAGTATCCTGCAGTCTGAGAATGGAAATTGTATTTTAAAATATGTTTTAGATATTTGAACTCTTTTTAATTGATATTTAAGCATTATATTGTTATTTAATTATCTTTTCTAAACTAATCTTTAGCTTAATGGTTTAAAAATTCAGATAAACCATCTTGAATCTCGTGTCAGGAGAAAAGTGGGAAATAAATTCAATGAGTAAATAAACACTGTGTTGCACATTGTGAGTTGTTTTCCCCCTTCACTTCAAGCATGTATTTTACATTGTCATATAAGGATTTTTTTTTAAAAAAAAACCCTTCCCACTATTTGTCATTAATGTGTTCTTTACAAAATATTATTTTACAATAATATTTTGTAAAATAAATAATAATAATAAATAAATTTTTATTTGTACCCTGCCACCATCTCCCCGAAGGGACTCGGGGTGGCTAACAAAGAACTCACGGTGCCACACAAACAGAATCACATATCATCAAAACAATGCACAATTTGACTGAATACAACAATGAACAATATTGACTGATAAAATTAAAAACTTTAAAATTCCTAAAACACAGATATACCTGTGGGTCATTGGTTTTTTTTAAAAAAAAACACACAAACTAAAGTGCTTAACATTACTCCAGATCAAAGGCTCATGTAAATAGCCATGTTTTCAGGCTTGAATGAAAGGTTTGGAAACTTGGAGCTAACCTAATCTCTCTAGGGAGGGCATTCCAGATCCAGGGAGCCACCACTGAGTAGGCTCTCTCTCTCATCCCTACCAACCACACCTGTGATGGTGGTGAGACCAAGAGAAGGGCCTCCCCAGCAGATCTCAGGACCCACACTGATTCATAGAAAGAAATATGGTCTCGAAGATAGGTTGGACCCAAAGTGTATTTCTGGTTTCATATCTACTTTCTAAACGTAAGAGATTTTGCTTATTCGTATTTTCTTTGTCTTTTCCCTTTTACTAACAGCGTGGCTTTCAGTTCTTGTGGCTTTCAAATCTTGAGACCATTCCTTTGGTTCTCTGGACCATCCAAATCAAGTGATAGAATAGCACTTTGGAAGACAACATTTGAAAGTACCTATGCATAAGCTCTCCTTAGGCAGAAGGTAATTGTCAGTGCATTTAAAAAAAAAACCATCCGGAAAACTTGGCTTCAGTTTCATCCAAGTCTAATGTTCTATGGTTCACAGATTGAATACTTTGTAAATAATGGTTTTATTTCCATCTTGCTGCTTTGTAAAAGAATATCAAGTAACACATCCTCCTGCCCTACGTCAGACTTAGTTTAAGTTAGACATACATTTTTTCAACTGCCAGAGGATGTGAAATTTAATCTTGTGAAACAGTGACTTTAGAAAGCCTTGCTTTTAGAATGTCTTCCCAGAGTAAGAAAAGTACCTGGGTGTCAAGCAAGATGGCTGGGCAGACCATACAGTTGCCTGAGCAGCTCCTCCCCCACTGCGCTCTCATCAAAGGTTAAAAGTTGATGAAGGGGGAAAGGGCATGGGGGCTGAGCTGGCATTAGCATTTAGAAGAGGCAAATACAAAAGAGCCACAACAGAGGGTGTGTTGTGTAGCAGTACGCGCTGCCTTACAACTGCAATGTGAAAGCCAATGTAACCTGAGTTTAAAGGAAACCATGTTCTTGTCTATCAAAGTGGAACATCGGAAAACAGGTGGTTACTTGATTTTAAAAATGTTACAGTGAAAATAGGTGCAACTGCAATAGAAAATGAAAGCTAAGCTATGCACTGAAAGATCAATTTACTTCACAGCAAATTTAATGCCAGCTCAATCACCAGTCCTTGATCTACACCAGAATTCTTCACAGATTCATAAGGACTTTTTTCAAGCACTGCATTAGCATCTTGCATGTGAAAAGTACAGCATCTGATTCTCTTGGGGACCTCTAAGGAATTCCAAAGACCTCAAAGCTCCTGAATCCCTGAACCATGTTTTTTAATGATTGCCTATTTTTTGGTGAGGGGCTGTGGTGGCCCAGTGGTTTAAACCGCTAAGCTGCAGAAGTTGCTGGTTGGAAGGTCAGCTGTTGGAATCCATGGATGGGGTGAGCTCCTGTTGCTAGCCCCAGCTCCTGCCAACCTAGCAGTTCAACAATATGCAAATGTGAGTAGATCAATAGATTCCGCTTCAATGGGAAGGTAACAGCACTCCATGTAATTATGCCACCCACATGGCCTAGGAGGTGTCTATGGACAACACTAGCTCTTCAGCTTAGAAATGGAAATGAGGACCACCCCCCAGAGTAGGACTTGACTAGACTTAATGTCAGGGAAAACCTTTACCTTTTTCTTTGGTGATTTTTTTTTTTTAAAAAAACTGAAAATATATGAAAGTACATCAAAATCACTTCCAAATGTAACTATTTAATGTGCCCTTTAAAATGCACTAATTTTTCTCCAAAGAGCCAAAACTGGTAATTGGAAGTATAGGTTTGTTTCCCTCAGGAGTGATTTAAAAAATCATCGCTGCCCTCCATGAATTTTCCTACTTTTGCTTTAGAAGAGAAGGCTGTCCAAGCAATACGATTGTCAAAGGTTGGAAAGAGTGTGAAGGCACACAACAACACTAAAAGGCACTGTGATCACCATGGTATGAAATACCTTAGAAAAGTACAGGATATATACCTCCAAGGATTTTAACCGGGGAAAGCAATGGAAACCATTAAAATAAATAAATGCATGGAACAAATGGCTACTTTTTAAGTGAAGAATGAATAAATTCTATTTCTGCGGTACCTAAACCAGAATATGACTTGCCTAAGGTCACCCAATTGATGTATCTCTCAACCTTCAGTGGAAGACAAAAGTAAGCCTTGCTTGAACCAATCTTCCCAAGAAAGACCTGTGATAGGGTTGCTGTAAGTCAGAAATGTGCTGATGGCACAACAACAACCCAAGCCAGCTTTCAATATGTATTCTCTATATTGTGTTCAGGAAGGGGAGGGAGACTTACGTTTGCAAATCTGTGGGGAAGAAATGGGTTTCCCTCTGTCTCTGTAAAAACCCGGTTTGCACCTCTGACACCGGTGGCCTTCTGTGTTGTGCTTGCAGTTGTCACAGATGCCTCCACTCTTCTTTCTTGATGCCAGCCAGACGCTTTGGTCAAAATGGCAGCTATCGGCATGATTGTGACAGCGGCACTCTGGGTTTTGACAGGAAGAATTTAAAAAATCATTTAAACATATAATTCAGATTTTGGAAAGTCACTTTTTAAAACGAAAACTCCAAGCACCCCTCTGAAAGCATAGCTTCCTGCTAGTTATAACTATTTATTGACCCTTTTGTTAGTTGGCAAGAAGATCCTTGAAACCCTCATGAGATTTGGGAAATTATGGTTTATCTGTAGCACAGAGGTGAAGAAAGGAGCTAGAGCTACACTTTTGCAGAACTATAGATGACAAAGCATCTTCTCTGTTAAGTTCTTCTTTGATAAGGTCCTGAAATATGTGTGAACTTCAGTGGGATGAATGACAGAGGTGCCAAGAAAATGGTGTAGCTTGTAAGGGAATAACTGAAACTGTGAAACTGTGGATAAGTGAAACTATGTATATTAGAAGTACTGAGAAGAAGAAGTGACTTGTACAGGAAGCCCTAAGAATAAGTGAAACCATGCACAAATCAAACAGCATATGCATGTATTCAAACTGCATTACATGGCAGTGTAGATGGGACCTCAATGATACAAGGGTTACATTTTTATTTCTTTTTGTCTGTTTGTGTACACACAACATATTGAAACTGTGGGTAACAGTAATATAAGGAAATCTCTTTGAAGATGGGAGGATTGCCCTACAATATATGTCTACTGGGTCAGCTTAATTTACACTTAGTAGCCCTTTCACACAGGGTTTTGCACTCCAGGAAAGGTTACTTAGGATTCTCTGCAAAACCAAGGATTCCAGAGGATGGAGCTCTGGCAGTTGAAGTGGAATCCCAGTTCTGTAACTATGTAGTGCAATAGAACTCATATATGTGCACATGCAGAGAGCAAGGGACACAGAAAGTGAGAGACGAAATGGGTCGCCATGCAGTTACTTAGCAATCCATTCCCCATCTGCTGCGGAAGGATCATAAATCTGGCCTCAGTGAATTGTCTCTCATAAGACTTGGTGACTGGGCAGAATGATTTATTATTTTGCAATGCTCTACACCCCAACCCTCTTTTTCTCATGCCCACATACTTCTGCATTCATTGGGTGCCCCTGTTTTTCCATCGCCTGGCTCCCATGGCTGGTCATTGTATAATGGTGCACATCTCTCACAATGGTGTCCTGCGGTGTTGTGTCTGCACATGCACCTCCCGTGGACCTGATGAAGCAATAAATAACTGAATTAAAAAATGCAATGCAATCAAACAACTACAAATGTAAAAGAAATGGAGGGTTCCAAAATAAATACAAAGGCAGATTTGAAAGAGCAATGGAAGCAAGTGAAGTATTGCATCCCAAAGGACCATTGGAGTGAACAGTCTGTTGAAATGTTCGCTCAAAGTGCCTTCTAGCCATACATTCAGTGCATGAAAGGGGCAATGGAGCCTGTCTCCAGCCCCCTCTCCAAACGTTTTGTATCCCACTGGATACAGGAGTCCCAAGAAACACAGAGAAGAAGCATTTTGTGAAACAACTCCATTGAGTCCTAATCGTGGGAATGGAACTGACATGGCAAAGTCCTGGGGAAAAATAGAGAAATCAAAAGAAAACTTTTTTTCTGTTTTCTTCACAGACTTGAAAATTTAGTTATGGAGTATTTTTATTTTTTTAATATGGGGCATTCAGAAATTTTCTATCCCCAAATCATTTCCAAAAAGCTATGTAAAAAGAAGGCTTTGATGTTAGATTATCAGATAATTACGTTAGAATACAGTTACAATATACAAAAACAAAGCCATAAACAAAGCTAAAAACTTGGCATTATACTGAATTTCCTTTGGAGTGGCTCTGGTGTCACTGCAAGAAGGTCCTCCATTGTGCATATGGTGGCACTCAGACTACATTGCAGTAGGTGATCTGTGGTTTGCTCTTCACCATACTCGCATGTCATGGAATCCACTTTGCAGCCCCATTTCTTAAGATTGGCTCTGTATTTTGTGGTGCCAGAGCACAGGCTGTTCAGTGCCTTCCAAGTCACCCAGCTTTCTGTGTGCCTAGGGAGGAGGTTCTCATCTGGTACCTCCACTGATTTGAGATTCTGGGTTTTAGCCTGCCACTTTTGGACTCTTGCTTGCTGAGGTGTTCCTGCGAGTATCATTGTAGATCTTTGGAAGCTGTTTTCTTGATTTAAGACATTAGCATTCTGGCTGATATCCAGAGGATGGGCTGGAGATGTCACTGCCTTGGTCCTTTCATCACTGGCTGCAACTTCCCGGTGGATGTCAGGTGATGCAATACTGCCTAAACAGTGTAATATCTCCAGTGGTGTTGGGCGTAGACATCCTGTGATAATGCAACATGTCTTGGTAAGAGCCACATCCACTGTTCAACGTGCTGAGATGTTTTCCACACTCGGCCTGTAGAGTAGCAAAGCACAAGGGCAGATGTCTTCACTGTGTCTGGTTGTGATCCCCAGATTGTTCCAGTCAACTTTCCTCTAAAGATGCCAGCCACATATGCAGGCGAAACATCAGGAGAAAATGCTGCTAGAACACGGCCATATGACCTGAAAATCACACAACATTCCAGTGACTTCAGCCATGAAAGCCTTCAACAACACAATTTATGTGTGCCTTATTAATTGGAAAGCAGCATTAATGATAATGTAAGTCTTTATCTGTAAGTGCATACCTGTCAGCTCTGGGCCTGAATTCTTCTGATTGTTATGAAGAACAACTGTGCTTACTTGGTCAACCCTGACATTACTGATAGTGAGGTGCCCATCTCAGGCAGCAGATGTTGCCAATAGACTTTTAGTTATTATTGCATATCTACTGACAGGGAGGGAGAGAATTATTTGTGAACTTTTCTATTCCACGTATGAAAATAATTTGGCTTGTTTTTTTTCCACTATGTACCCTAATCTGCATATAAAATATCAATAGCTTATCTGGTTTTAGCTTTTTTGTAAGTCACCTTGGTTCTCATGTTTGATGAAAGGCATATAGAAGTTGCTGCTTGAGCTGAAGATGCAAAATGCCCTGGACTGCCCCAGGTTTTCATCAGCTGAAAGTGAATCTTCCAGGGATGTGGAAAAGAATGGCTTCTCTCTCTTTTCATTACTTGAACATTTGTTTTATGTTTTGCTCTTGGTATCATTCTTTCTGCTGCCCCCTTCTTCTTTTAAATGATATTTTAAAACCCCAAATAGGACTACTGTTCCTGTAGATTAGATGCTAGTTAAACTAATTGTGAGATAAAAGAAGAGGAAACAGAATGGGTCACACGTCTTCTGTTTCAATAAGTTCCAAAGGCATTCCCTCTAGACTGGCACATTTGAATGTTTGCACTTCCTCTCGGCTCTATTCAGGAATTCACTGCACTTACCCGGACCCAGCTCATGATATTGTTTCTATGATGCTGCTGTTGTGATTGTATTATGTTTTTATTTGATTGATTTTAATGTTGCTTTTATCTGTGATTTTTGGGCTTGTCCCCTTGTAAGCCTCCCTGGGTCCCCTTGGGGAGATGGTGGCAAGGTATAAAAATAAAGTTATTATTATTATTATTATTATCATTATCATTATCATTATCATTATCTGGGAAAGTCATGCTACCCCTCTATTCTGCCTTGGTCAGAAAACACCTGGAATATTGTGTCCAATTCTGGGCACCGCAATTGAAGGGAAATGTTGACAAGCTGGAATGTGTCCAGAGGAGGGAGACTAAAATGATCAAGGGTCTGGAGAAAAAGCTCTATGAAGAGCATCTTAAAGAACTGGGCATGTTTAGCCAACAGAAGAGAAGGCTCAGAAGAGACATGATGAGGGCCATGTATAAATATGTGAGGTAAGTCATAGAGAAAAGGGAGCAAGCTTGTTTTCTGCTGCCCTGGAGATTAGGATGCAGAACAATGGTTCAAACTATAGGAAAGGAGATCCCATTTGAACATTAGGAAGAACTTCCTAACTGTGAGAGCTGTTCAGCAGTGGAACTCTCTGCCCCGGAGTGTAGTGGAAGCTTCTTCTTTGGAGGCTTTTAAACAGAGGCTGGATGGCCATCTGACGGGGGTGCTTTGAATGGGATGTTCCTGCTTCTTGGCAGGGAGTTGGACTGGATGGTCCATGAGGTCTCTTCCAACTCTTTGATTCTATAAAAAACAACAATATGTAGAGTCCTTCTTCCTTCCTATCATCTACACGGGTTGGGATGATAAATTATATGAGGATGCTTCTGCCTCTGCGTGTTATATATAAAAGTGAAATCTGAGATTTCATTTCTGACCGAGGCATGAATGTAATCTAAATCCCTATAATCTCTCAATGAATGCCAGTGGCAGTTTGCTACAGTGCTTCCTCCTCTTCCCCTTTTTTTCTTTAAGGAAAGCCCAAACAGCCACGTTTTCCCCATTCCCCAAGCAAAGACAAATCATAAAGTAAGAGAACTGGCAAGAAGAGAGATCTTCAAAACAAAACACAACAGCATGAAACCAGCTCCATCATGTTGCTCTCTTCTGTCCTAGGCCACTGCCAATTCACTTCAGCAATCCATCCCTCTCTCCCTTCATTCCTAATCCCTTTAGATCAGATATGGTGACAGGCTAAGTCTGATGCCATTGCTCCTCTGCAGCCAGCTGGCAGATTTGCTGTGCCCAGACCGGTTGGCGGCCTCCTCACGGAAGGCTGAGCACAAACTTCGGGGTGTGTATTTCTTTCTCCCTCCTTTCCCTCGCCACACTTGGCTCTAATGTAGTCTCAAGGGAGGATGTTGGGTATAATACGGAGCATATTATATGGACCACCTCTCTAGAGGGTTGCAGAAGAACAGTGGCTCTGTTTAAAATCCAAACGTGATTATAATTTAAGAAGTGTTTTGGGGGCGGTGGAAGGTGAGAAAACAATTGAATAACTGGCTTTAGCATTCAGTTCAACCAAAGAGGCTTTAACATCTAGTTCAGCAAAGTGCAGGACTGGAGGAAGTAGGATCTGAATGAGACAAAACAAAGACTAAACACAGAGAAAGAGAGAGAGAGATTACATACATATTGTTGTTGTGTGCCTTCAAATTAATTCTGACTTACGATGACCCCAAGGCAACTCTATCACACGGTTTTGTTTAGAGCAGCTTTGCCATTCCCATTCTCTGAGGTTGAGAGAGTGTGATTTGTTCAATAATGTAATCTAAATCCCTTTAAGCTCTCTACTAATGCCAGTGACAGTTTGCTGCACTGCCTCCTCCTCCTCCTCCTCCTCCTTTTTTTTTAACAAGGAAAGCCAAAGCAGCCATGTTTCACCCACTAAACAAGCTCATGCATGATCATTTTGAGTAAGAGAAATTGGAAAGAGGGGAGATCTTCAAAATAGGTTTCTGTGGTTTAGCAGAGATTCAAAGTTTCTTTTTCAAGACCTTTGTCCAAACTTCAAGATCTTTGTCCAAACTATATAACGTTTCTAAAAAAAACAGCCATGAGAACAATGTAAATGTAAACCACATTATTGAGTGAGAGACACATTGAAGGAGAAATATATCATTTAATTTATTATTCATTGAAAACGAGTGACCAAGAAAACTTTTTATTTGTGTCACTATAGAAAAGAGATTTCCAACCTTCGGTCCTCCTAATGTTTTTGACAGTTGACCAAGCTGTATGTCGATCCTGGGAATTGATCTCTACAAACCTAGAAGACCAAAGGTTGGCAATTACTGCTCTAGAGCAGGTGTATATATAAGTGCCACCTTATAATTCCCTGCCCTTAGGGCTATAATATAAAATTATAAGACCAACAAGAAAAAGGGGATGGCAGTAGGGTAGAAGATTAACGACCCCATCAGGGTCCATCAGGGTGAAATCTGCATCTTAGAATGTTTTCACCTTGTCTGTGGAACGGAGGCTGACACTGGACGTCACAAGACATTGTGTGACTTCCAATGTAGGCCCCACCCCCAAACAGGGTAAAAGCATCTCCAGATGCCTTCACTTCAACACAGGAGGCTTTCTGTGTTGTGCTGGCTCCCATGGAACCAGCTTCGGGCCTCCCCATGAGGGAGATGCTTTCCCTATGTGATGGGGAAAGCATTGTAAGAGGGAGATGCGTGTGGGGTGACCGATTCACCCCTCTTCTCCCTCTTTCCTCACGAGAAGCCAGACAAAGTGGGATGCTTCACCTGACCTTTCGGATAAGGTTGTTAGTCCAGCAGATGCTGACTGCTCTTCTCTCC